GGTAGTAATTGATCGGTTGTCCAAATATGGTCATTTCATTGCCTTGCAACATCCGTTCACAGTAGTGGACATCGCCCGGATATTTGTCCAAGAGGTGGTACGTTTACACGGATTCCCTAAATCTATTGTTTCGGACCGTGATAAGATTTTCTTAAGTCATTGTTGGACAGAGCTATTCCGTTTGGCGGGTACTAAGTTGAACTTTAGTACATCGTTTCATCCGCAAACGGACGGACAAACAGAGATTGTTAATCGCTGCTTGGAGACGTATCTGCGCTGCTATGCTTCCTCACATCCCAGAAAGTGGTTGAAGTTTCTAGTTTGGGCAGAACTATGGTACAATTCCTCATTTCATACAGCTCTTCAAACTACTCCTTTCTGTGCAGTTTATGGACGGGACCCTCCATTTCTGTTGAGATTCGAACAGGGTTCTACTGCTAATTATGAGCTGGAACGTGAAATGAGGGACAGAGACGCGATGCTCGACGAGCTGAAACAAAATCTGTTCCATGCTCAGCAAAGGATGAAGGCTTTTGAAGACACTTCTCTTAGGGAAGTCACTTTTCAGGTGGGTGATTGGGTTTTCCTGAAATTGCAGCCTTTTCGTCAGCGTTCGGTGGCCAAAAGGCCATTTCAGAAATTGGCGGCACGTTACTATGGGCCATATGAGATCACTGGTCGGGTGGGTGCAGTTGCTTATCGCCTCCAGCTACCTTGAGACGCTCGAATCCACCTAGTGTTTCATGTGTCACAGTTAAAAAAAAAAAGCCATGGGTTCGGAGTTACAGCCTTCTTCAATTCCTCCTCAGTTGTCGGCTGATATGGTTTTGGCGGTGGAACCGTTGACTCTGCTGGAGAGTCGTTACTCAAGGCAGGGCTTGCTGGAAGTCCTCATCGAATGGGCAGGAATTCCACGGCATGATGCGACTTGGGAGTTGGCAGAGGACTTTGCAGCCCAATATCCTCTCTTTAAGCTTGAGGATAAGCTTCGTCTTCAGGGACGGGGTATTGATAAACCTTTCCGGGCGTACGTCAGAAGAGCAACTAGAAACGGAAGGGCAAAAGAGGAATTTTCTAAGCAGGAGAGAGAAGTTCAGGGAGGGGAGCAGGAAATTGGGACGGGTTGAGGAGCAGAGGAAGTTGGGATCTGCAGGGAAGGGGACGTGTTGTTTCCTGAAGATCGTTATCATCTATATATATATACATAGTAGGGTGCTTGTATAGGTGGTTATGGTCATGCTCACGAGTATGTTAAGGAGTGGGCTATATATGTGATCGTTTTTGGGTATTTTTGGGATCATCCGAAATTTTGAGAGAATCTAGGAGGTGGGTAGAGTTTTTGATCTCTGTAATGGGAAAAACTCTTTGTTTACCTGGTTTTCTGTGATTAATACAAGCAACCCTTATCTAATTCCTTATCATATAGACTAACCTTTTGAGAAATAATTCAGTAGCTCTTCCCTCCTCAATTCTTCGTCGTATGACTTGCGCTTTACAGAATCGGGCAGTACCTCATAAGCGTTCTGAAGCTTCTTAAAAGATTCTGCGGCTTTCTGTTCTTATCGGGATAGATTTAAGTATTGGTAATGAATACTTTTATTATTGGGCTCACGAAACGTTTTGTCCTTTTATTATTGTGGCGTTACATTTTATTATTATTGGAGCCTTCTTTTTTTTTGGTAAAATGTAGAGGCATCACTTCTTCTTTATCATGTCTCCTATTCACTCTTATTTATTAATCCATAAAACCCACTCACAATATATGTTTTAGACCATAATAAAATACTACCATTATTCTTGAATTAATTCCTATTTATTGTTATTGTTATCAAGTTCAAAATTATTTTTTTTTAAATTTTGGAATCAACTAAGCTTAAACAATTACATATTTTCCATATATAAATTTAGTGGAACGTTTATTTTTTAGAATTTGTTTAGTGGAATGTTTCTTTTTTTAGAATATGTGTCTATCTAATTTTTATTTTTATTTTTAACATCAAATAATCTTAAAAAAATATCATAGTTTTCTTATATAAAATTAGTGGACTATTATTTTTTTTTACAAGATATGTCATCTAACTTTTTAAAATCTTTTTTCATGTATAAAAATTTATGATATTCAAATGAATTTATATATATTTAATAAAGGTTTTAAGTAACCAATGAAAATTTTAAATTTTGCCACATGTATAATGAGTTGGATGTTTAAGTGGCTTCACCAAAAACTTTCAAACTCAGCTTTTAATATATATAGATATAGATATAGATTCTCTCTCAAGTTTGGTTTTTATGGAGATAGCGTAACGAAAAACTTTTTCAGAATGCAACAACCACTTACAATCCCTCTCAACATATATTCTCCTACGCTCGACAGATTCATACAATGGGTAAACAAGACTCCTTTTCTTTGTCTAAAAAACCCAGATTAGTTTTCGAGATACAGTGGAAACCCCCCCC